CTGGCGCTATGGCGTAGTGGGTAAAGCTGCCACCTGTAGCGCCGGCATCCCATATGGGTGCTGGTCCCAGTCCTGGCTGGTCCACTTCTGATCCAGCTCTCTGCTACGGCCTGGGGAAGCAGTAGAAAATGGCCCAAGTCCTTGGATGCTTGCACCCATGTGAGAGAACCAGAGGAAGTGCCTGGCTCCTGGCTTTGGCCGTTGCAGCCAACTGAGGAGTGAACCAGCAAATGGAAGACATCTCTCTCTCTCTCTCTCTCTCTCTCTCTCTGCCTCTCCTTCTCTGTGTAACTCTGACTTTCAAATAAATAAATAAATAAATCTTAAAGAAAAAAAAAAAAAAGAAAACCACTATCTTCTGTTAAGAAGCAATCTGGGTTGATAACCAGAATCTACAAAGAAATCGAGAAACGCCACAACATCAAAACAAACAACCCACTTAAGAGATGGGCCAAGGACCTCAATAGACATTTTTCAAAAGAGGAAATCCAAATGGCCAACAGACATATGAAAAAATGTTCAGGATCACCAGCAATCAGGAAAATGCAAATCAAAACCACAATGAGGTTTCACCTCACCCCGGTTAGAAGGGCTCACATGCAGAAATCTACCAACAATAGATGCTGGAGAGGATGTGGGGAAAAAGGGACACTAATCTACTGTTGGTGGGAATGCAAACTGGTAAAGCCACTATGGAAGTCAGTCTGGAGATTCCTCAGAAACCTGAATAGAACCCTACCATACAACCCAGCCATCCCACTCCTTGGAATTTACCCAAAGGAAATTAAATTGGCAAACAAAAAAGCTGTCTGCACATTCATGTTGTTGATTGTAGCTCAATTCACAATAGCTAAGACCTGGAACCAACCCAAATGCCCATCAACAGTAGACTGGATAAAGAAATTATGGGACATATACTCTATAGAATACTATACAGCAGTCAAAAACAATGAAACCCGGTCATTTGCAAGAAAATGGAGGAATCTGGAAAAGATCATGCTGAGTGAATTAAGCCAGTCCCAAAGGGACAAATATCATATGTTCTCCCTGATCAGCGACAACTAACTGAGCACCAAAGGGGAAACCTGTTGAAGTGAAATGGACACTATGAGAAACAGTGACTTGATCAGCCCCTGTCCTGACTGTTGATGTACAATGTAATACTTTATCCCTTTTAGTATTTTTTTTGTTCTGGTACTATTGGTTGAACTCTATAATTAACACACATTTATTCTTAGGTGTTTAAATTTAACTAAAAAGTGATCCCTGTTAAATATAACAATGGGAATAAGAGAGGGAGGAGATGTACAATTTGGGACATGCTCAATCGGACTTGCCCCAAATGGTGGAGTTAGAAACGTGCCAGGGGATTCCAATACAATCCCATCAAGGTGGCATATACCAATGCCATCTCACTAGTCCAAGTGATCAATTTCAGTTCACAACTGATCACACTGATAGGTCTAAGAGTCAAAGGGATCACACAAACAAGACTAGTGTCTGCAAATACTAACTGATAGAATAAAAAAGGGAGAGAATGATCCAACATGGAAAGTGGGATACACAGCAGACTCATAGAATGGCAGATGTCCTAAATAGCACTCTGGCCTCAGAATCAGCCCTTAAGGCAGTCAGATCTGGCTGAAGAGCCCATGAGAGTATTTCAGGCATGGAAAGCCAAGACACTCTGGCAAAAAAAATCCTAAATGAAAGATCTCTGCGATTGAGATCCCAGTGGAAAGAACACATCTTCAAAGAAGGAGGTACCTTTCTCTGAAGGGAGGAGAGAACTTCCACTTTGACTATGACCCTGTATGAATAAGATCGAAATCAGTGAACTCAAAAGGCTTCCATAGCCTTGGAAACTCATGACTAGAGCCTAGGGAGATTACTGACGCCATAAACAAGAGTGTCAAATTGTTAAGTCAACAACAGGAGTCACTGTGTACTTACTCCTCATGTGGGTTCTCTGTCCTTAATGTGTTGTCCAATGTGAAGTAATGCTATAACTAGTACTGAATCAGTATTTTACACTTTGTGTTTCTGTGTGGGTGCAAACTGATGAAATCTTTACTTAATATATACTAAATTGATCTTCTGTATATAAAGAGAATTGAAAATGAATCTTGATGTGAATGGAATGGGAGAGGAGCGGGAGATGGGAGGGGTGTGAGTGGGAGGGAAGTTATGGGGGGGGGAAGCCATTGTAATCCATAAACTGTACTTTAGAAATTTATATTTACTAAATAAAAGTAAAAAAAAAAAAAGAAGCAATCTGAAAGATCAAGATAAAATATCATTATGCCTGAGACAAGGAAACTTTACTAGTTCTTTTGATCCTAGGAAGTAACACAGAGTTTGCTTCTATGAAAAAAGACAAAGAAAAAGGTGATAAGATAGTTTCTGTGATATGACAGCTTCTGTTAATACTGGGGCTGATGTTCGTGATGTAGCAGCTATAGCCATAGCCTATAATGCCACCATTCCTTATGAACATGCATTCAAGTCTTGGCTACTCAAATTCTGAGATAGCTCCCTGCTAATGCTCCTGAAAAAAACAGCAGAAGATGGCCCAACCACTTGGGACCCTGCCACCCACATAGGAGACCAGGACCGAGTTTTAGGCTCAAGGCTTGAGCCTGGCCCAGTCCTGGCCCTGACAGAGCAGCATGTCAGATTTCAGAGCACTTTAGGTTTCAAATGTTCAGACTGGCTCTTGCAGCCATTTGTGAAGTGAACCAGCAGATGGAAGATGTCTGTTTGTTTCTCCCTCTCTCTCTAACTTTGCCTTTCAAATAAATAAGTAAATCTTTTTTTTTTTTTTTTTTTTTTTTTTTTTGACAGGCAGAGTGGACAGTGAGAGAGAGAGACAGAGAGAAATGTCTTCCTTTGCCGTTGGTTCACCCTCCAATGGCCGCCGCGGCCGGCGCGCTGCAGCCGGCGCACCGCGCTGATCCGATGGCAGGAGCCAGGAGCCAGGTGCTTTTCCTGGTCTCCCATGGGGTGCAGGGCCCAAGCACCTGGGCCATCCTCCACTGCACTCCCTGGCCACAGCAGAGAGCTGGCCTGGAAGAGGGGCAACCGGGACAGAATCCGGAGCCCCGACCGGGACTAGAACCCGGTGTGCCAGCGCCGCTAGGCGGAGGATTAGCCTAGTGAGCCGCGGCGCCGGCCCAAATAAGTAAATCTTTTAAAAACACTGACGCCTAGGAGACACATTGTTCAGATTTAAAGTTTAGAACAACGTCATTGACAAGGAATTGGCTACCCACATCTTGCTGCAGCATTCAGATGCTTTCTTTCTCATTCACACTATAGCTGAGACAGAAGAGAACACGATACAAGTAGGATCACAAGGAAAACCAGGCCCTGAAAGCAGTTTTTATAAAATGTAGAAGAGAAGACACACTGTAGTTATTACCGTTTTTTACAAAATGTTCATAGTTGATGCCCCGGTTTTAACTCAGAAAAACCAAGATCTTTCACTGAAGAAATTACAATCAAACACACTGCTATGGCTGATCTAATGTGTGATGTTAGACCATGTAGTTGATGTATTTCATGGTTGGATAATGATGTATTTGATGGTTGGATAAATGAAACCTGGACTCAATGGTGACCTATATTTCACAAAACTGAGATGTCAGAGATTTCCTGACATGATGTGGAAGAGGAATCCAAAAGTTAATCTAAATTTTCCGTGAACTTTTAGGAGACCCCTCCTCCATAGGCTGAATATGTTTTTATACAGTATTTTTTGTGTGCTTGCATTTTGATCACATCCTGCCACATAAGTTCAAGTGTGGAGTTTTCTACCTCAGAAACTAGGTCAGCACTCAAAAAGCTTAGGATTTAGGAGCATGTCAGATTTCAGAGCACTTTGGGTTTCAAATGTTCAGATTAGGCATATTCAACATATACCGAAATAAAGATAACTTCAGAAAAAAATCTCTTTCCTCCAAAGTCCTTCTTCCCCTAGACCTAAACCCTATTCACCCAAAGTTCATTTGTTGGAAAGGATGTGGCTACTGCTTACTGGGTGACAGAGGAGCTCCAGGAGGTATCATATGTCAAGGCTGGTGCACAGAAAACATCTTGTGTTGGAATGCCTGAAAAACCTGGCTGGGAATCTGCCAACTATGATGCCAGTAAAATTAGTTGGAAAGTTACCTGTTGGTTTCCTGGCAAAACTTGTTAGTATGCTCCCTGCTGGGAAGCCCATGACACTTACTAGATGATATGTGACACTGGGTCTCCTGAACACAACCTGCAGAGAAGCCTGAGCTGGCAAGGAAGTCACCCACTGACCACCACAGCATAGAGGCAGAAGAAAACACTGCAAGCAGGAACAGGAATCCCTTCCTCCTTCAGTGCTGCTCCTGGACCCTGGATTGACAAGGCCTACACTGTACCAAATGGTAATGGACAGAAGGGTGAATTTAGGGGCTGAGAGACAAAAATGCATTTGAAATTGAGGATAGAGATGAAATAAAATTAGTCATGCTGTGAAAACTTTTGAAGCTGAATAATGGGTACATAGGATTGTTCTGTTTACTTTGATTATTTTAAGTTTTCAATAATAAAATATTTTCTTGCTTTTATTTATTTTAATTTCTAAAGCATAGGCTCTTGGGTCAAACTGCTTGGCTTCAAATCCTGACTCAGCACTTCAGGCTAGTTATTTAGGTGCTCTGTTTCCCCACTTGGAACAATAGTAGTCATCTTATCTGGGGTATAGAGAGAGTTGGAATAGATATTACACACAAAGTAATTAGAGTAGAACTGGTAATGTAGTACATTTCTAATAAATTTTAGCTATTATTATTTTATTTATATTATTTATCCTGGTGTTGACAGTTTTCTTAAGATATTTAATACTACTATCACACCATAAACACACATATCTGTAAACAGGAGAGAAATCCTATTATATGAACTTCAGAATGCTTACCTTATATGCAGAGCTATGCTGTATATCTGTTATTCAAAGAATAACTTACCTTATCTTTTATTTTGTCAGCTCTAGCATCCAGAGGCTGATTTTTGTTTTGTTCCTGATTACATTTTCGATTTCCTCCACCTGAGCTTGTACTTTTAGTTTGCCCCAAGGAACTTGAAGCAGTAGTAGAAAGTACAGATGTGTTGATACCAATTACAGATGATGTACTGTTTCCATTTATTGAACCATTTACACCTGGAAGACAAACATGTTCATTGACTGGATTATTATTCAACCATAAAAAAGAATGGATTACTAACATACAAGAGGTTTCCAGAAATCTCATGGAAACATGTATTATGAAAAAGAATACTTCTTTATGGATTTTACTTTTTCTGCACCTAGATAAACTTATCAAAAGTTTTAAAAATTTATTTATTTTGTTTATTTGAGAGGCAGAGACAGAGAGGGACAAAAAGAGATGGCAGACAGAAGACACTCCCATCCACTGGTTTACTTTCTAAATTCCCACAACAGTCAGAGCTGGCAAAGTTGAACCTGGGAGGTGGGAACTCAATCCAGGTCTTCCTAGTGAATGACAAGGCCCTAATCACTAGAGCCATCATCTGCCACCTCCTAAGGTATACATTAGTAGGAAGCAGGAATTGGATGTGGAAGAAGGAATTGAATCCAGAAACTATGGTAGAGGATGCAGGCATCCCAACTTGTGTCTTAACCACTAGGCCAACTTATCTTTTAATTCCATTTTCCATGAACTTTTTGAAAGTGCCCTTGCATTTACAACGTGGATTAAACTCACAAACATTTTTAGTTAAAGAAGCTATACAAAGGGTCACATACATGATTCCATCTATATGAAATGTTGACAATCTGAGTAATGCAGTGGAAAGTGGTGGATGCCAGCAGGGTGGAGGAGCAACTGCTTAATAGGTAAGGATTCCCTTTGGGAATAATGAAATGTTTTGGAACAAGTTACATGATGGTTGTACCAAATTGTGAATACATTAACTATTAGTGAATTGTTCACTTTTTTTTAAAGACTTATTTATTTGAAAGTCAGAGTTATACAGAGAGAGAGAAAGAGGCAGAGAGAGAGAGAGGTCTCCCATCTGATGGTTCACTCCCCAACTGGCTGCAATGGCCGCAGCTGTGCCGATTGGAAGCCAGGAGCCAGGAGCTTCTTCTGGGTCTCTCATGTAGGTTCAGGGAACCAAGGACTTGAGCCATCTTCTACTACTTTCCTAGGCCATAGCAGAGAGTTGGATTGGAAGTGGAGCATCTGGGACTCAAACCAGTGCCTTATGAGATGCCAGCAAGGCAGGTGGCAGCTTTACCCGCTATGCCACAGTGCTGGTCCATGTATTGTTCACTTTAAAGTATTTAATGTGATGATGTATGAATTCACTTCAATTAAAAGCAAGTTAAGAATTATGATTAAATGTAAATATTCCCAATTGTTGATACCAATTACAGATGATGTATATTTCCATTTATTGATCCATTTATACCCATTTAGTTTTAGAGCAAACTCCCCTAAAATATTTACTCAAGTAAAAGAAAGATAATAAATCAGTGAAAAAGCTATTATAAAAATTTCAAATAATATTCTAACAACAGTTAAATAGTACAAGAAGTAACACACTATATTGGGTTGCAAACAGGGAGGTAAAAAGATAGAGAGCAAAAAGCAGTAGAATTGGGTTCAAATTCTGACTCTACCACATCCATATGTAAGCAGTATTTCTTGAACAATTTATTTAACTTTAGTTACAAAATGAGAATATTTCTAATCTTAAGGATTAAGATATTATAATCTTAAGGATTATAAGGAATAAGCAAGACAATGCAAAAGAGTCTAGCTATAAACATATTAAACTTCAGTGCCACTAAAAATTGGCTCTGGAATGGAAGGTCTACAATTATGCTAGTATGGGTACCTTTTTCAGGACCACTTCGATTACTTTTTCCTGAAGTCCTTGAATGGAATGAAGACTCATGATTCTGGGCTGGAGGAGCAAACAGTGGTGGGATTCCCAGTAACGGCGGAAAGAAGGTTGCCCCTGTGCGAGTATGAACATCTGTTGTTCGCCACCATTCTGTACCTCAAAATAAACAAACCAAGTAAAAATAATTGAGTTAACCTTGTAATGAATGTAACAACTGCCTTCTATAATTTACTCCTAAGAAAAATATTTCCATTTTCATCTTGGAACAGAAATGTCAAAATACAGTTCTGATCATCTTTCTAATTGTGATCAGTTCTGATCATCTTTCTCACTATGAACTGCTGACTAGAGCTTGAACACTCATCTCACTTCTCATTAGGCCAATATCCAAGGATCTCCTAGGGTTCTAGTTTACGTAGAACAAAGGTAGTGCATAGCTTAAAAACTAAAACTGAACTCTTTGATTATTAAAGAACCATTTGACTTTTTAAGGACTTACATCACATTTTTTCTAAATTTATAAAGGAAATATTTTAGTTTATACTAATATATTTTAAAACTGTGGAATTTAAGGCTACATCTACAAACTATGTTAAGAATTTCCCCAAATTATATACAATATAAATCTGGCTGTGCTAAATCAAGTAGTCTAAATAATAGTATAAGGTTATCATAATCCAGGACAACTGAAATGCACTCAGGAAAGAAAACAGTCTATTGTCAAATGAAAATATAAATACAACAAAATCAACGTCTTTTTTTTTTGTTTTTTGGTCTAACAAATAAGTTTTTGAGACTTCAAAAACAAATAATTTTGCCTTAAAATATAGAAGATTTATAAATTTCTCCCCTTGAAGTTAATGAAGAAAGTTTGAATTCTGTCCTTTTCACATAAAAATTACAGAAAACAATCATTATTTTAATAATATGAGTATTTAAAAATTGAATGCAATTTATATATTCAAACAGTAGCACTTAGTTAAAAAGTTTTGAAAAGGACATAAGCCAACTTTTATAAAAGGCATTTTTCAAGGAGAGGTAAAGATTAGAGAATTGGAAACAATCCAAAGGACACCTTTGTATTGCTTCATCTAAAAATCTCAGAAACAACCTTTTCCAACTGGTTAACCCACTAGATTATCAAATCACTTATTGTGTTTCAGGCCAATCTTTCCAAAGAAAAGGTGTATTTTTCATTGAGTTTAACAATCACAAGGCAATTAGAGAACAAACCACAACAATATAGTGTTTGAAAAACTCAATACTGTGAATATTATACTATATGATCTTTAAAGTTGTCTGAGGAATACTCATTCATGAAAAAGAGAACGTGAAGTGATTTGCACCTTCATCATATAATAGCAAAATCTGGGTTTTGAAAAATGAAATGTTCATGGCAGCTGCCATTCTCAAAGTTCTAAAAAAACAGTAATAAGCAGAAGATCGTGAAAACTATTCTTTTGCAGTACAGGAAGGTGTTGCCAATAATATGACACCAACATATATTCAGCTGTGCCTGAATGATGGGCATTGAACCAAAAATAACTACCCAAAAGTATTAATTATTCATCCACTGTGTAGATGAAAGACGTTCATTTAGATAGACAGAAATTTTTTTGTGTGTATTTTGGGCTTGCATCAGCACAGTTGGAATTTCATAGTGTTATTTACATGTTTGAAAACTAGGTTCTTCCTAAGTAATAAAAAGGGACTGAGGTTTCCCTAAGATATTTATTTAACAGATTCTATAATTAGAGCATTAACCTAGAATGCATAGACTTTAAAACAGCCAAATTAGTAAGGTAATCAAAGTATAACAGACAAAATCAAACTTAAAATAAACATAAAAATGTACCACAGAATGTCAATAAGAAAGAGGTACACAGTAGAGATTTAACACTGGGAAAGCATGTGTTATATAAATAAGCTGACAACACAGAGTAAAACAGGAAACAAATAAATATGACAAATTAAATAAAAAGATGAACATGGCAGAGCCTCTGAACATCAATTTTACAATGTCTGGGATTACTTCACAGGCGATAATGTAATTTTAGTTAAGTGACAAGTTTACTTATCTTCCAAATTTAGGAAAATAAAAAACAAATTTAGTCATAAAACAGCTTGGTAATAAAATGAAAAACACAAATAAGGATTACATAAATCCACACGTGATGAATGTGTAAATATATTCAAGAAAAGCATCATTAATCATATTCAATGGAAATATTCTAATATTTCAGAGGATATACTGAATCTCAACTTGAATCTAGAAGTTTGAGCAGAATTTTAAAATCTTCCAAATATGATATAGCCAAACACTTCACAAAAATTAAAGGTAATATAATATAAAATATAATGATCGAAAATTATAAATATTTCAAAATAAATGACCATGAAATGCTATTTCAATATAAAATGGAAATAATTTTATTATACTAATGTTCACTAAATAATTTTATATTTCTTGACTTAATTTGAAATGCAGAATACTTTACAAGCATATAAAATTTAAAAGCAAATTATTTCCCATTTAAAATTTCAACTAATGTTTTCCTTGTGTGTCCTCCCTTATTTGTTGTGTGATTTAAAAACTTTCACATTTTGGTTATGCTTCTGAATAAAACCAATTACACAGAATTTATACTTAAGTTATTGTGCCAAATCTACTAATTAAACACATTTGTCCTTTAGAACAAGCATAACCTCTGTTCATTTGGCAAAAAACAATATAGTATGCTCAGATAGGCACACTTTTATCATTAAAGACTGTCGTGTAGGCATCTGTTTATCCATCTCTTAAAAACTATAAGCAACATAAAATACACTATGTTAGTACAATTCTCAATAATTGGCCTGGTGCACAGAATACAAAAGATACTCAAACAACTTTGTATGTTAAGTGAATGAGCAAACAGTTTATGTAGGCTGGACACGTTATTAAATATTTTCTATGCAGTTAAGGATCAACATTAGTGAAGTCTAGAGAGGTATTTTTTTACATTTGTTAACTAACAACCCAGTGCAGAAGGTATTTGATTTTAACAATAGCGAAATTATATTTTGGTTAGAAATGCCCAAATTAATACTATAATTAAACTGTGATAAACCAATAAAATATTTAAGATTCCAGTAATTACATTATTACCTATTTTGATTTTTATTCAGCAATCTTACATTTCAGTAAATATCGGTTGAATATTTATCTTGTTAAACAACCATGCTAAAAACTTAATGGAATAAGTTCCTGTTAATACTTTAAAAGGAAATATTAAGATTTAGTTTTGGATTTTGTCTACTTTCATTATTTCCTCTCTACCATCCACTCTCTCAGACAACTGAATGAAAGAAATGACTCAAGAAATAGTACTTGAAATATAGATTTAACCATCTCCACATGTATAGTTAAAATAAGATATGTATTTCCATTAAAGCAGCACTTGACAATTCATTAACCATTAAAGTGGGCAAGAGCAAATAATGACATTTAGCAATTATGGACTAATTGCATGTGCAAGACACCCTATTCAGCACTTAACATGGCTTATCTCTGCCAGTCTTCACCAAAGCCCCTAGAGCCAGCTATCATTGTTATCTTCATTTATCAGATGAGAAAACTGAGACTGAGACCTTAGATAACTTGTGCAAGGTCACACAGCTATGAAGTGATAAAGTCAAATTTAAATTTGGATGTATTTGTCTTTAGAATTAAATATTAATATTTTAAATGATTTTATATCCACTAAAACATGCATCTCATCAAAATTTATTAAAGTAAAATAATCATTGAGAAACACATTCAAAACTCAAGTAACAAGACAAATTAAAGCATGATTTTCTAAGTGAAGCTTTAAGGGATACCATACTGAACTACTGTATCCTCATAACCTGTAGAATTTCAGGTAATACTGGTCCTTTCGACTAGTAAGTGGTGCAGCTCTATAGTATCTCCATAGTTGACGAAATCTGGAAAAATGCTAACATTTAAGAATACAGGACTCAAAATAAAAGTGCGGAAATATTTACTATAAGAACCAGACTTCAGTTTCACATTATATATTAAAAGTTTTTTAAATGAAATAAACCCGAGAAAAATTCAACAGACTACACTTACAATAAGTACACTTTTCTTTATGTTATACCATGCTTCAAGGAAAAACATGAGAAAAACTTGGCTGAATTCTTCTCTTCTGTAACAGATGCCCATCTCCCTTCTAAACACCTAACTACCTAATTAATTGCTCTCCAACCTAACACATAGTGTGTTTTATACTCTTGTTTATGACAAATAGGATTCAGCCAATTCTTGCATGAAAGTTTTAACACATCAGGCATTAGACTATTCTTTAGTTCTGTATAATAAACAAATTACTGCCTGAACATTTTTAAGCTTTTCTCCTTTCCTTGACCACTGTTTGTAACAGATGTTTACCTGGAAAAGATGCTAGTTGGGGATGTGCGGCTAAGGCTGTGGGTGTACCAAGTGTCCCCAAACCACCAAATTCTGAATGCCCTGAGCTGGCTGAATGTAGACCAAAGACTGGGTGGCTGACCATTGGGAAGGCACTCGACACTGTGGACAGGTTAAACGGCTGATCCCCAGCTGCTCTGAATAAATGTCCTGGGAGGGAAAAAAACACACTTAAAGTTGTGCTATAAAAACAGGTGAGATTTATCTGATGTCAGCGTTCATAGTTAAAATTTATAATTTACATTTTCTTCTGCATTTTTGCTCTTTTAAGACCCACAAAATGTTTCCAGAAACATGAAAATACTCTAAAAGTAATTCAAATGAATAATATGTTGTTTTGAATTTGAGAACCAATGTTTTAAGTAAGTAATTTTTACTAATTAAAATAGTTTGACCTGAGAAAATGAGGCCAATTTTCCGTTAATACATGCACATTAATAAATTATCAAAATTTTTTACACATAAGAAAGAAAAAATCCATTAATCTATTATTGAAAACCAAGGACTCAAGCCCATAATCTGTTACCAAGTCATTACTCAAATTGACATACACTCTAGACATGTTCCAGAACTGAAGCTCAGTATTCCACGTAATACCCCATAGGTGAAAAGAATAGCTTGATACCAACAAGGGATTAAGGAATAAACTTACTAGAGATTTCTAAATGCATTCATGGATGGTTACCAACTTAATGCTTATTATTTAACTTTCTGATCATAACACAATATTCAATTCAAATGTATATAACTTTTCAATCTCCACTTTATAAATAGATTTAGCTGGAATGTTATATATGTATTTATATAAAATATAAAAATATACATTATATATTTTTAATATTGTATAGAGATTTAGCAGAACAATACTTGGAATTCTTCCCTTTCATGAAGGAAATAATTAACATTTCCTGGCTTGCTACTCTGAAAATAGGATATCAAATCACATATTCCAGGTTATCAAAACAACTTTCCTTGTAAAAGATATCATACTCTACCTTAAAGTAAGAATGAAGCTTCCTTACTATCTCCTGTTTATATTCATTCTGCCTATGCATTGAAATTTAATTAATATTAAATTTCAAATTAAAATGATGTGAGAGTAGATTAAAACATATACGTTGAAAATAAATATTTTTTCCCATCATTACTAAATGATCAAGCAAGTCTCTCCCGTTTGCTCTTCTTTTAAAAATTATTCATTCATTTTCACTTATGTGAAAGGGAGAGAGGGAGAGAGAGAGAGACAGAGAGACAGAGACCTACTTCCATATACTGGATCATTCACCAAATGCTCTTAACAGCTGGTGTTGGGCCATGCTGAAGGCAGGAGCGAGGAACTCAATGCAGTCTCCCTTGTGGGTGGCAGGAATCCAAGTACGTGAGCCATCATTCCTTGCCTTTCATGGGTATACATTAGTAGGAGACTGGACCAGAAGTGAAGGAGCCAGGAGTAGTGACTTCTAACAGGCACTCTGATATGAGATGTGGGCACCCCAAGGAAGCTTTTAACTGTTGTGCCAAATGCCTACCTTCTGATTTTTTGGTCCCTGAAAACCTAAATATTATGAGTGTACCTGCACAAAGATTTAAATCTTAAATTCTTCACTGAAATATGCTATATTCTCCACTGGAAGGTTTAAATGCCTTTAAGTAAGATTTAAATAAATTGCTGTAAATATGTCTTGTATCAGCCTCTAAGGAAGAAGCTCTGATTAGGGTAGTGCTTCCAATACAACAAACCCAAGAAGTACATCTTAATCATTACAGTTACAAAGAAGGCCTATGAAGAAACTGTGAGATCAGAAAAGAAACTTAAGTGTCTTTTCTAAGTCAGGCAGTCTTCTATTTTGTTTACCTAAGTCTAAAGATAGGGAGTGAGTTATTTAGCCTAGTGGTTAAGATGCTTTCATCCCACACTGGAATTCTTGGGTTTGATTCCAATTCTAGCACCTCACTCCAGCTTCCTAGCAACACAGACTCTGGGAAGCAGTGGTGATGTTTCAAATAAGTGGGTTCCTGCCATTCACTTGGGAGATCTGGGTTGCGTTCTTAGCTCCTGGTTTTGGTCTGGGCATAGTCTTAGCTATTGCTGGTATGGGGGAGTGAACTAGTGGATGGGAGTGCTTTCTGTCTATATTTCTCTCTGCCTCTCCAATAAGTAAATAAGTTTTTAAAAATCTATGCAGAAAATTGGTGAATTGGTACTTTTACATCCCGGACTGTATTAGCAGAAGCTGATTCCAAATAAAATAGAGCACATGGCTGCAGAACAGATTACCACAAACATCAGTATCTTTAAGATTATTAATATGCCCCCCAGAGAGACTGTTTCACCTTTTTTCAGTCAATTCTCAGAAACCCAACTAATTTTTTTTTTTTTTTTTTTTGACAGGCAGAGTGGACAGTGAGAGAGAGAGACAGAGAGAGAAAGGTCTTCCTTTGCCGTTGGTTCACCCTCCAATGGCCGCCGCTGCAGCCGGCGCACCGCGCTGATCCGATGGCAGGAGCCAGGATCCAGGTGCTTTTCCTGGTCTCCCATGGGGTGCAGGGCCCAAGCACCTGGGCCATCCTCCACTGCACTCCCTGGCCATAGCAGAGAGCTGGCCTGGAAGAGGGGCAACCGGGACAGAATCCGGCGCCCCAAGCGGGACTAGAACCCGGTGTGCCGGTGCCGCAAGGTGGAGGATTAGCCTATTGAGCCACGGCGCTGGCTTTAATTTTCTTAAATAGTGAGCTTGTGACTTTAAAAAATCAATGTTTGTTTTCATTTGTGATTACATATAAAATTTACAATTGTCGCCAATCAATTCAACTTCCTGGCTCAAATGGGATTAATCAAATGTTTTATTTATAAACATACTGTGACTTGTCATATTTCCTTCTCTATCAATTTTCCTGGCAAGCAAGTGGAACTAAACATTCCATTCCTAGGGATTTTAGAGAATCATGTGTCATTTAAATTCACAAAATAATAATTTAAAATTATACTTGCCAATTATATGTATGTACTCACAATTTGTTACAAAAACATTAATGGGATAAACTCAAAATTACCAAAACTATACGAAAATACTATACAAATGAAGAAAAACTGAGACGATCATGGTTGAAAAATAACAGAAATACTTCTTTTCTTTTTCTTTTTCTTTTTTTTTTTTTTTTTGACAGGCAGAGTGGACAGTGAGAGAGACAGACAGAGAGAAAGGTCTTCCTTTGCTGTTGGTTCACCCTCCATTGGCCGCCACAGCCAGCGCGCTGCAGCCAGCGCACCGCGCTGATCCGATGGCAGGAGCCAGGTACTTATCCTGGTCTTCCATGCAGGTGCAGGGCCCAAGTACTTGGGCCATCCTCCACTGCACTCCCTGGCCACAGCAGAGAGCTGGCGTGGAAGAGGGGCAACCGGGACAGAATCCGGTGCCCTGACCGGGACTAGAACCCGGTGTACTGGCGACGCAAGGCGGAGGATTAGCCTAGTGAGCCGCGGCGCCGGCCAGAAATACTTCTACAACTAATGAATTGGTGGTAAGCAAAATTCTCAGGTGTATAGTACAGACATTAATTTTATTACTGTGAAGAACAAAATGAGCTCTATCTGGAAGATCCCCCAAGCAGAAAGCATGAAACATAACTAAATGAACTTTGCAAAAACTCTTGCAAAAACAATTACAAACCAATCATACATAATTTGATAACAAAAAAAGCTCTTTTTTTAACTCTAAAAAGGGTAATCTCTAAAAGCAGTTGTGTAGAAAACATCAACAAAATATGAGTTTTATTCACCACAGAATTCAACTGAAAAAAAAAATGTATAGATGTGTACACAGAATTCCATCTAAGCCTGGCAATACTGCAGAGACAGGAGTTCAAATCGAGACTACTTTACTCTTTACTCCACTTTATTATTCTTTCTTCTAAAATTCTTGGTTAAAATATCAAAGCAAGGGGGTCAGTGTTGTGGCTTAGTGGGTTAGCCACCTGGGATTCCGGCTTCTTATATGGGTGGCAGATTGTGCCTCATCTCCTCTGCCTTGGATCTTGCTCCCTGCTAATGGCTTGGGAAAAGATGGAAGGTGGCCCAAGTGTTTGGTCCTCTGCATGCAAATGGCAGCCCCAGATGAAGCTCCTGGTTCATGGCTTCAGCTGGCCTAGCCCTGGCTGTGAACTAGCAGATGGAAGATCTCTCTCTCTCTCTCTTTGTAACCCTGATTTCAAATAATTAAATAAACCATTAACAAAATTAAAGCATGGAAAGCATTCAGTTGCCTTTCAAATAACATGAAAAAATATTCAAAATGAGAAATGTTTTTGAATGAATGAATTCCTTACTTATTTAGAGTAGAAGAGGAATATCCATGATTCCAAAGAGCTTCCATCAGAACAGCTCTGGAGTCTTTTTTCAAACACAGAAATATGCTTCTTCATTTCTTTTGTCTTACTTCATCAACTCCTGGTTCTGATACATACATATATGTGTGTGTGTATATATATATATGTGTGTGTGTGTATATATATTTTAATTACCACTTAGCCATTTAATCTTCCTCGATTCCATTTACCTCAATGATGGGTTTGATCACACAAAATTATACCATCTCCGAGGTCTTCATTTTCACTCTTTTACTACAATTTCTATATTTCTATTCCTTTATTTCTCAGCCCAGTCTCTGGTTTCTACCATTTATTTCCTTCCCTCTCACTCCAGTCTACAGATATTTACATTGGGGGAAAAAGTCTCTAACCTGCTACGTCTACCTCCTCTGCACTTCTCAGAATTTTTTAATGTTTGAGCCAAGTTCCATGCCTCCCTTCCACTTGATCTGTAAAGGCACTAAGTATTCCTAATTGTTATAGCCAACTAATTGTTACTCTTTTCATCCTTATTCTGTCCCTAGAAGTCTGTACTTGATTGTCTCTTATTAAGAGTCATTAAACTGCAAGACATGTAATGCTATCTTTTTTTTAAAAAAAAATATTTATTTTATTTATTTGAAAGACAGAGTTACAGAGAGAGGTAGAGATAGAGAGAGAGGTCTTCTATCTGCTGGTTCACTCCCCAAACAGGAGTAACTGCCAGAGCTGGGACAATCCAAAGCCAGGAGCCAGGAGCTTCTTCCACATTTCCCACATGGGTGCAGGGGCCCAAAGACTTG